TGGCAACCCCTAAATTTGTAGGGCGATGCACTACTGGGTCGCACCGCGCATTTTCTCGCAACCACGTATGCAGATCGGCGAGATGCGAAGAATTGACATCGTGAATCAATCCCTAAGTGTGCCAAAAGAACTACACAAAATAACCCATGGATCACACCTGGGCTTATAGCAAAAATCAACCATTATTACCAACTCTATAATGACAATTTGCAATTGAGCTAAAGTTAGAAAGGAAAATGTAAACTTGGTAAAACTGGTTATAAAGGGGGAACATGTCAATGCTCGAAATATTGTGAAAAACGTTCTAGATACAAATTAACAGGTGATACTCGTAAAATATCTGTTCGAGTCCAACTCGGCGCGCGTCCCGGTAGGTTGTTAACTTACAAGATACAAAACTTATAAGGATTATAGAAGGATGGTTAAAAGAGATCGCAAAGATGTTCAAACAAAGTATTTCATTGGAAAATTTGCAGACACCAAATACGGGGCAAACAGAAAGGCAAATAAAACCTCTGTTTCACAAGTAAAAAGGAAGGCGCCGCGCCAGGAGTTGACGGACGTTACTCGTGTAAATTTCTTCGAAGTAGCGCGCACCGCTTTCTTCTCTAAATTTGGCTCAAGGCAAGTGATACGTTACTGGGCCGCGCTCAGCCTGTCATTCCGCCGAATCTCTATTCATTGTGTTAATGAACATGATAGCCTGAGGTCCCCAGGGATACGAGCAAGGGCTTTGGATAGAGTAAATTTTTGACTGACAAGATTTGAATGTCCTGCACAGCAGATCAAAGAATATTTAAATCATTTAATATTTTTATTGTATTGCTATGTAAATTTGACTATTGTTAATGGTCGGGCCCGGCGCGCGCTATTTCGTAGCACTTGCCATCGGGCCATCATTGTAAGTTTATTATTGACATACGTTGCATGCCACTTTTCGCGCGCGAAGCGCGCGCCACCGAAGGCGGGATACGAAAGCGGGATACGAAATATGTATCAAGTTTATAACCTATATGCAATATGACGCACGCCGAGTCGAAACAAATATTTTACGAGTATTACCCGGATTAAGGCCTTAGGCCATAACATTTTAAAAAAAGCAGCGCGTGCTACCTTGAAAAAATTTAGACGAGTAACATCCGTCAATGTGTGAATTTGATTCTCGTGCTAATTCTAATTATAATAATGCAAAGCGTAAAACTTTACTTTCCCCAGCTTCGCCTTGCATTACATTGTACATAATTATCATGTCAGGACGAAGCTGATTTGATTAAAAGAGGAAGAAATATAAATATTATCATTCGCGCCTTTTCCTATGCAAATATGTTGCTCTAACCAAAGCCCTTTCGCTTGCAGTAGCGCGCGACCGCCGAAGTACGCATAACACATGGCTATGTGAAGCCAATATGCGCGGCGATCTTTTCGAATTTCTTGCACAGAGTTGACGGATTCACATAACCATGTGTATACTGCAAGCGAAAGGGCTCTGGTTTGTAGGTTTACAACCTACCAGGACGCGCGCCGAGTTGGACTCGATATTTTACGAGTATCACCCGTTAAGCTCTGGTTAGAGCAAGTTGACGGATGATACTCGTTTACATTTCTTCGAAGTACTAAGTAACGTGCGCGCGCCGCTTTCTTTTCGAAATGTGGCCCGAGACAAGTCATGCATTACGATGTAGCTTGTAGGTTTACAACCTACCAGGACGCGCGCCGAGTTGGACTCGTCGACGGTCCTGGTAGGTAGAAATACGACTCAATTACGGCAGAAAAGTGCCGTAGATGCTGATTGGCTGAGACGTTTGCGCCAATAGGAGAGCTTATATTGAGTCACGTGAGCTATGCGCGGCGTAAAATCACTCTGCAGTTCGAAATTCTGTGATAAAATCGAGCGCTCATCAATTTTGTCTGGCTCTGTAACTTCACTTCCTCACGCAGATTATAATCGATTCTATTCACTGTTGTTTTGTTCGCTGTCTATGACCGTATTGAAATTAAGCTTAACATTTGATAACAGATTCTATTCACTTCCAGCTTTAATTTGATCGCTTGCTGAGTTGCATGTCATTTGTTTGATTGTTTCCAGATTCAATCTGACCGGTGTATCATCAATCAATATTACGGTTCAGTCATTCAGTGGGCCATAATTAAGCTGCTACCTGCATATGCAGATGAACAAACGAATATTGTGGTGCATGCCAATGTAAATGAAGGTTTTTGTCGCTTACCTTAGTGTACAATTAATTTTGAAGATCAAACATATTTTTACTATTGGCATTGTTGATGCGACCTAACCCGATCGTTTTTGCTATAACTATATCCCTTGAACTATATGTTCAAGACTAGAATTTCGAGTTCTCCTTATGCTGCAGGTACTCCAAATATCGTATGATAATAATAATCTAAATCATTGATCTAGAAATGACGTGACACACTTGTAATCCAGTGGCAGTAATGTTTATTAACGGCATTACATGGAGTCCCTGTTCATTTTACCAAATAATGAACTGTGACTAAACTTCCAAGTTGAATTCTTTAACTTGCCCCTCGGACGTTATTCCACAGTAACAGACCTGATACAACGTGAGGGACACCAGTTATATATCGGTTATTAAATATAAGGCTGATGTGTTAAGTTATTAATTGTTTCTAAGGTGTGTCCCAATTCCCATACATCCGTTTACACTCAGTGTGTACTGAACGATTTGCTTATAATAACAAGAACCCATTTGTGTATTAAAACATAGACCTCAGTTTGTAAAGTAAATCTTTTGAGTTTGTAAAGTAAATCTTTTGAGTTTGAACACCTCCTAGTTACCATGGTGATAATTCCAGAGATATCACGCGATTTGGTAACCAAGTAAATTGTTATAATTGAATGCGTAGAGTACACTAATCATTGGCTTTTACTTTTAGTGGCAGTAATTTTTATTGAACTGTGACTAAACTTCCAAGTTGAATTCTTTAACTAGTCCCTCGGACGTTTCCATAGTAACAGACCTGATATAATAACGTGAGGGACACCAGTTATATATCGGTTATTAAATGTAAGGCTACTACGATTAGCTATTAAGTGTTTCTAAGGTGTGTCCCAATTCCCATACATCCGTTTACACTCAGTGTGTACTGAACGATTTGCTTATAATAACAAGAACCCATTTGTGTATTAAAACATAGACCTCAGTTTGTAAAGTAAATCTTTTGAGTTTGTAAAGTAAATCTTTTGAGTTTGAACACCTCCTAGTTACCATGGTGATAATTCCAGAGATATCACGCGATTTGCTAACCAAGTAAATTGTTATAATTGAATGCGTAGAGTACACTAATCATTGGCTTTTACTTTTAGTGGCAGTAATTTTTATTGAACTGTGACTAAACTTCCAAGTTGAATTCTTTAACTAGCCCCTCGGACGTTTCCACAGTAACAGACCTGATATAATAACGTGAGGGACACCAGTTATATATATCGGTTATTAAATGTAAGGCTACTACGATTAGCTATTAAGTGTTTCTAAGGTGTGTCCCAATTCCCATACATCCGTTTACACTCAGTGTGTACTGAACGATTTGCTTATAATAACAAGAACCCATTTGTGTATTAAAACATAGACCTCAGTTTGTAAAGTAAATCTTTTCAGTTTGTAAAGTAAATCTTTTGAGTTTGAACACCTCCTAGTTACCATGGTGATAATTCCAGAGATATCACTCGATTTGCTAACCAAGTAAATTGTTATAATTGAATGCGTAGAGTACACTAATCATTGGCTTTTACTTTTAGTGGCAGTAATTTTTATTGAACTGTGACTAAACTTCCAAGTTGAATTCTTTAACTAGCCCCTCGGACGTTTCCATAGTAACAGACCTGATATAATAACGTGAGGGACACCAGTTATATATCGGTTATTAAACGTAAGGCCACTACGGTTAGCTATTAAGTGTTTCTAAGGTGTGTCCCAACTCCCAATTCCCATACATCCGTTTACACTCAGTGTGTACTGAATGATTTGCTTACAATAACAAGAACCCATTTGTGTAAATATTACATTATATCATACCTACTATTTAAGCTTCAATTATCCGTTGAACATGGATATTAAAACATAGACCTCAGTTTGTAAAGTAAATCTTCTGAACACCTCCCATTTACCATGGTGATAATCCAAGAGATATCACGCGTCTTTCTAACCCAGTATCGCTATAATTGTATAATCGAATCCGTAGAAAGTGCAATTATCATTGGCTATCAATGACGTGACATAGTTGTAGTCTAGTGGTAATAATGTTTTTGGCTAGCTGACTGAACACGCCATTTTGGAACTAAATTGATCGTCTCCAGGTCCCCGGACAGTTTCATCTTTAAATATCTTAGTTAATTAGTTTAAATCAGACTTATAGACAATAGATTACAGAACCCTTGATTTCATCGCCTTTGTACACTGCAGTACAGGAGTAAAACTCCTACATACAATCGGAAAATGATCTGACGGTGTACACTCTTTAAATGTATAATAACCTCCTTTTAAAATAAAATATATATTTTTAACAAATTTGCTGTTAATTAGTACTTGAGTATTTAGTATCCGTGTAAATAAGTCCTCTTTACTGGTTTTTGTCGTTGCTTAGTAACCTTAAAATGTGTGCTTTTAACGGTATAAATACGGTAAATATTTAACTCTGTGAGATTATCATGAACTAATACTCTTCAAAATTTCGTTAGCCAGGACTGATCTAGTGCAAGATGAAGTACTGTTAACTTTTAACGAGAACAAGCAGAGTTAAGTTTTCGTTATGGAGAATGGAGAATGTAAGCAAGTGATTTTTAAATATCATTTTCTACTGATAAGTTTTTAATTTATATTACAACAGGTAAAAACTGTCTTCTTCTCTGTTGGACGTTGGTAGGTTAAACATTTGTGTCATTGTAAACTAAAAGTTAAATTATTTAAACGTAATTAAATTGATACATCTCACTAATTCAATATATTTATCCAGGTGTTTGGGCAGAGTCGGACAGATTTTAGAAAATCGCTAGGGTACCATCCTGCAGAAGATGGTGAACATATTTATTAATAATAAGCACTGCTACATTTGACTAGAATATGATAGAGGAGGGAAAAATCCAACAGGCGAATTAAAAGCCCGTGCTATAATACCACTCTTTCTTAACTTTAACTATCTCATCAATCAAGGTTCTTCAAAACTGTCTTCTTCTCTGTTGGTAGGTTATACATTTGTGTCATTGTAAACTTAAAGTTAAATTATTTAAACGTAATTAAATTGATACATCTCACTAATTCAATATAATTATCCAGGTGTTTGGGCAGAGTCGGACAGATTTTAGAAAAGCGCTAGAGTACCATCCTGCAGAAGACGACGAACAAATTAGCACTGCTACATTTTACTAGAATATGATAGAGGAGTTATACTGTTATTCTCCCCTTTGCTTTTTCGCTGAAGCTCGTTTACAGACAACACTTCCCCTGGAACTGGATCACGATCACGAAAGATAAAACCCGAAGGTGACCTACTCTGATCTTGTTATCTCAGATTCTCACAAAGTAAATTTATCATAATTTCCGCATACCCCTCTAAGTAAGACAGTGCTAATTTAGTCGTTTACTATTATATGTTTCGATGAAATTTTCGAATTTTTTTAATAGACTCAGTTTCTAATGAAATTAAATCGTGAAATCATTTTCTAATGTCATTTATTGTTAACTTGAATGCAACTTGATTGTGAAATAGGTTATTTTATTTCTGTGCAAATTTGTAGACTTTTAAGTCAATTACTTGCAGGATAAGATTTTCAACAGAACCAAGAGCGGTACCCAAATCAACGATGTGGTTTGCAAGGGAAGAAGTGGTCAAATATCCTGTTCAAACTAAACAGAATTCTCGTCAGATCCGGTAAATTTATAATGATTTGATAAAATTATCGATGCAAATGACAATCTTTTAGATTACAAAATCAGTCAAGCAATCTTAACCATATTGTTGCAGATTTTGAACTATACCGCCGCAACCACATATGTTTGTTTGTTTGTTTATAGAACCCGTCCCCAATCTCGTATCGGAAAATGACTAAACTCAGGTCTGAGTGTGAATACGGGTGGTACCTGCAAGAGTGTTCATTAAGCATTTAGAGTTCTGTAAAACTGCAGTTACAATTGTGCTAGAGTATTTTTATTAACCACATATAAACCACCAGATTAAATTTTGAGACACAAATTTACACTTTCTGGCCTTTAGAGAATATCACGCTGTATCAACAAAAACATGTACCTTTTGATCGTTTAAATCGCCCTGGGCAGTGGCACTGCGAGGTATTGACAGCAAATAGGAGCTGTAAATTTGGTTTTCAATTGGTTTAAACAAAACAATGCATGTTTCTCCGCCAATATATTCCTACTAATATGACTAATACTGTGTCTGTGATAAAGCGTACGTAAATAATCGATCGGCTGTGCATGGTCTCCCATGATATTTAATGGTTTATTAGGGATGATGTGGTCCCTGGGAAGGGGCATTCCCAGTTTAACCTACTTACTCTCCAAACTTGGGGTAAATAAAACTTCGCATTATAATTATTATTTATGAAAAGAAAATTGAACATTTCAATTTCCATGATCCATTAGGATATTGTTAATAGCACTTGCTAAGTTTTGTAAAGGAATTAGCAATAACTTTAGTGTCACTTTGGCAGTTGCCAATTTATGGGGATATTTCCGCATTGCATGACATGGACCATTTAAATAATATCTTAATTTGATATTGCGATTATCGAGTCACTCTGAAACAAATTGTGTCTAACTAGACCAAATGTAAACAACAGTTGTGCATGGAAATGGATTGGATATCTACATGAATTTAGTCGAAATTGCATATTGAAAGGTCATTTCATAATAAATTACTCGTATAAACTCATACTTCATACAATTCTAAGTTCTTATGTACATGTTCAATGTTCATGATTCGCTGTAGAATAAAGGGCGGTTCACAAAAAACACTTTTCGTTCAAATAGTTAGATATCACCTCTAATTAGTTGCTCTATAGGGTCAAGAACAACCACAATTTTTTTTGTGTCCCTACGGTTTCGTATAATACTGACTTGTGCCACGCCCATATTTTTCACCAATTTTTAAAAGGTAAAATTCTCTAAATCGTCAATTTAGTCACGAAGGAGTATGGAAAGAGTTCTAAATGTGTGCTCCTCTAATATAAACAGTAGGAAATGGTTAACTTAAGTCGAGGTCTCAGGTCTCTACAATGTCGGGAAGTTCCTGCAGGAATTTGGGCATTGCGCTTGAAGCGCAAGATTCACTGCGCCAAAAGCGAAGGTCGTAGAGACATGAGACCTTGACTAAAGTTAACCATTTCATACCATTGCTATAAGAGTATGCCACTTTCAGAGCCCTGAACACACTCCCATATCTCTTAATCGTCAATTATATGAATTTTACCTGTTAAAATATATCTTCTTTTACTGATATCAATTTAGTTTAACACTGTTAGTTTTTAAAAAGAACATAATACTTCACACCAAACTAACACACAATATGATAATATAGGGTTACTTCTACACACAGACATAACCCTTTATCAACTGTAATATAACATAATTGATTAAAGTATCTATGTCTGGCGAGATATTTGTTTCTGCACACTGAACATGTAGCGAGGAGCCTACACTGCACGTGGGCGAAATTTTCCCGCTTAAACTGACTCGATACTAACTGAAACTCTACACTTTGAATTTCATGGGAGCGTTCACATATGACGTCAGCAGCCGAGGGGGAGGCCGGAGGGGGTTGTGAAATGCTGACGGGAGGAGGGGGGGGGGGGGGGGGGGGGGGGGGGGTTGGGTCGCTCAATGCTGAAAGTTGCTGACAGGCGGGGGGGGGGGTAAAATTTGCCAAAATAGTGCTGATTTCATATGTGAACGCTCCCTATAATAAATGCTCACACTGCATTAACTAAGAATTGAATTTAGCAGTTGGAAGTTTGAGGGCTGAGGCGATTTCTTTTCAAAATTTGTGCCGGCCCCCATTTCTTGCGCCCATTGCGAGCTTGCCCCTTGCTGGTTTAGAGTGGTTACTAGTATGTGTTTGGTGTGTAATAATTACAACCTTGCTATCAAGCTCAACCAAAAATATTAGATCGTAGAGTAAACACTAAACCATGGCCATCTTGTATTGATCTAAAGACGTTTAATGGTTTGTACTGAAATAGTTGCAAACTTTTCCATAACCGTTTTGCTAAGATGACTACGTAATTAATTTTTATAACTGCAATTATACTCAATAGGCGTACGTCATACTATTCTAATGGTAAAATAATAATGGGGCGACATAAGTTGAAGTGTCCGTAGCCTAGGAGCCATCAAAAGTCATTACCCAGGTTCATGGAATGAACGGAAATGAACAAACATGAACATTATCCTCAAAGTGCTCAAAATTGTTCAAAATTGGTCGGAAAGAGTTAATATAGGTCCTAGGAGTAGTCAAACCAAGTTTGGGAATCACTGCATGTCTAGCACCGATGTAACCAATGTGCCAATTTCTTCCCAATAATCGTCCCGAGTATCTGCAGATTTTTGGAACATGGGGACTTCGAAGTATTGGCTGTATTTGAGTGCTGGGAAGCCTCAATTCGTTTTTCTAAGATGGATATAGTTAAAAACTAGGCCTAGGAGCCATCAAAGGTCGCATAACATTACCCATGTTCATGGAATGAACGGAAATGAACAAACATGAACATTATCCTCAAAGTGCTCAAAATCGTTCAAAATTGGTCGGAAAGAGTTTATATTGGTCCTAGGAGTACTCAAACCAAGTTTGGGAATCACTGCATGTCTAGCACCGATGTAACCAATGTGCCAATTTCGTCCCAATAATCGTCCCGAGTATCTGCAGATTTTTGGAACATGGGGACATCAAAGTATTGGCTGTATTTGAGTGCTGGGAAGCCTCAATTCGGTTTTCTAAGATGGATATAGTTAAAAACTAGGCCTAGGAGCCATCAAAAGTCACATAAAATTACCCAGGTTCATGGAATGAACGGAAATGAACAAACATGAACATTATCCTCAAAGTGCTCAAAATTGTTCAAAATTGGTCGGAAAGAGTTAATATTGGTCCTAGGAGTACTCAAACCAAGTTTGGGAATCACTGCATGTCTAGAACCGATGTAACCAATGTTCCAATTTTGTCCCAATAATCCTCCTAAGTATCCCATATTCAATTTTGCGACCAATTTTGTATTATATTTTCGTTAAATTTCCTATCAGAATTATGTACACAATTATTAGCACACGTACCTGAATTCTCTCCAAGTGAAGTTGGCAATTAAAATAATATGTTGTTATGTAATAGGTATTCCAACTTCATGACCGAAATGTTATCACGAGATGTACATGTTCGCTTACTTTGTCATTACTTTATTACGGCAGGCTGCGGTAATCTATAAATAATCATACTTTACACACATTTCTTTACACGCTGTAGGTTCCACATTGCACATTGGCGTATCATATTCCACTTAAAATTAAAAATTACCATGCACACGCACAAATTGCCCATTTTTGTCGATAAATGGTACATAAAAATGTAACCATTTATCGACAGAAATACGATATATATAATGTTCCCGGAATAGTATAACCTAAAAATGACTTGTTTGAAATCAAATATCTAATTAGCCGAGTTCTGATTATATCTTACCAACCTTCCCGATATAATAACACCAGTTTGTATCTAAACATTTGCTCCTAATAGCAACACTGACGTAATGGGTTTTATTTTCAGTTACTGATGGACTGACCTGCCATTGTGTGATACTGATAGTCGCCGAAGGATCTCTCTGACATGAAAACGGCTATACTGACGTCTGACAAAGTTACTCAGAATTCTTTCTTCTCTAATCTCTGACTCTCATTTTGCTGTGCCGGAGCCCGGAATGTCGTGCCCTTATTATTTCTGGAAGATAATGTACTGCTGGGAATAATCTATACTCTATTTCTCCTGAAACTGTAAAACATACAGTAGGTGAGGACATACTAGAATTTTTGGAATATAATTATATGGCTTACAAATACAATTCAGTCACACTGTAGGCTCAATATTGTGAACAGTCATAATTGTGGGTCAAGTTTTTGTAGCTTAATCAGTAATGCATCATGTCTTAACTCCCAAACCATCTGATAAACCGAGTTTCAACCTCTTTGATCAATTAAAATGAATTACTTTCAGTTACTGCCAAAACTTTCTTCTACAAATCCTCTACAATGATGCCGAACGCTTGAACTTGAAGATTGAGTTAATCTTCAAGATGTTGCTCCGATCAAAGAATTTAAGATGACAATTCCAGTTCATAATGTTACACTGTGCACGGGATTTAGAAAGATAAACATTATATATTATAATCCGTTGTTTCAATATTTTGTTTTCTTTGTTAATCACTAACTGATCGATGATCTAACTAGGTTTTATCTCTAACTTAAACTGTGATCTGAGAGAAGCTTTATCGAGTTGGACTTTCTGTTCCATTTGTTCCGCGGAACAATATTTGACGAAAGTCGATTATCTTGAGATCCTACTGATAAATTTTCTTTAAACTTTCCAGATAGTTGTATGGCTATAAGACGGATATTCTGTGCGATTTTGGGCGAATTTCTATGTGCCCAACCTGATATATGACTTCAAACACAAGAAAATATCTCAAAATGGCGGTTTCTAGCGGAACGCAGGCATATATTTCAAGATCCTACTGATAAATTTTCTTTAAACTTTCCAGATAGTTGTATGGCTGTAAGACGGATATTCTGTGCGATTTTGGGCGAATTTCTATGTGCCAAACCTGAGATATGACTTCAAACACAAGAAAATATCTCAAATTGGCGCGTTCTAGCGGAACGTAGGCACATATTTCGAGATCCTACTGATAAATTTTCTTTAAATTTTCCAGATAGTTGTATGGCTATGAGACAGATAATCTGAGCAAGTTTGGGCGAATTTCTATGTGCCAAACTTGAGATATGACTTCAAACTCATGAAAACATCTCAAATTGGCGGTTTCGGAACGATATTTGACGAAACTCGATTATTTTGAGATCCTACTGATAAATTTTCT